TTCGGGCGTCCATTATTTTCGTTTGTAAGTAAGTAAAGCATAAGTAGTAAAGCATATTACCAATCTATCATGTATTGCAAAGTTACATACAGTTATAGCAATCCCACCAGGAATAAAAAAGAGACTAGGAAACAATGATTCTCACTAAAGATGAGCTCCACTTTGAAAGTCGTCTGTTTTCATATTCACACACTTTCACATGAAATGGAAGTAATCTCAATATGACATGGATTTAGGAAGTTCACGAAAATTAAGTTGCTTGACAGATTATAAGCCAATTCCAGGACACTTCAAGGCAGCAAGTTGAGGACATCTTGAATGGAGGACTATGGAAATGGTGAGGCATTTTTGAGTGCGGCATTATTTTTCAACACCCACTTGTTCTCGCTTGCCCGAGCAATTTTCCTTGCACCAATTTGCTCAGTTGAATAGCCTGACATCTCATGTTTAAGTGACCCTCGAGGTGAGAAAGACTTCTCCAAAGACAGGCGTGAATGGCCACATTTCCATTTTGAGAATGGGGGATACCGATGCAATTCGACCGCATCGTCTCGAGATGCAGATTGTGAGTCGACAAAATCATCCATTAAAGAGAATGAGGAAAATAACAATCAGTCCTGTCTTCAGGGCACTAGGTCTAAAAATGGGGGACACAGGAAACAGGTTGAGACATCGCGAAACGCTGCGGACGTCGACAAACGGTCTGATCACTTGTTCATTCAACTTTGACAGGAGCCCACTTATGTCCACGTGCCAGTAATGACGTGAGATGTCAACACGAAGTGCATCATCATGTAATACTTAACCTTTTCACGGTTGTGGATACTTTCATTTCGTATAAAATGTGCATGGTGAAGAGATTCGTGAGTCAATCTCTCTAGAAGATGACGAATAATTCCGGTTATTCTGCAGCTGTTTGGCGTTAATACGATCTTTAGGTTGGCCCAGTCCACAAGACATCCTCCTTTGTTTTAGGCTAAAATGGTGTCAGCCTTCGTCCATCTTATGACAGACATTGTCAGAGCTGAAATTCATTCTGGCAAAGACTTCAAATAATAATATCTGTCTATCTATCTACATTTACATACTTTCGTTTTTAGTTAGGAGTATCTATAGTATGTGGGATAAAGATGGGTAGTCTTCAGGATTCGGTGTTGACCTGAAGCTTTTGCAAGAATGAGTTCTAGCTCGGACGATGTGTTTGATTTTGACGGACGAAAACTCAACCCGCTTTCACTCGAAATGAAAGACTGCGAAAACATGAAAGTCGTATTAAAGACAAAAAGTTGCTATGCAACGAGAATCCGCCGACGTCCCATGGTGAGACCGACTTATAAATCTCTAAATCATGCACTTTCCAAAAAGGTTATTTTGAGAGATTAATATAAATCCAGTTACTTTTGCCACATTTTCAATTGGTCTTTGGGTTGCCACCGTAGCTCTGTGAACAGCCTCCGCCAAAACGAGAAGCAGAGATTTTTGAGAGCAACCTGAATTAGATTTGCAGGCACTAATTTGGTTAGAATTGATTTAACCTGATCTAAGCAACTTGGCCGCATTGTCAAGGTGACCACTAAGAATGTACTCTGTC